AAATTTTGGATCCGTGGCCAGGCAACTCCCCGGATCTCAGTCCCACAGAGAACCTGTGGTCAGTCCTCAAAAGGCGAGTGGACAAGCAGAAGCCCACAAATTGTGATAAACTCTGAGAACTAATAAGGCAAGAATGGATTGTCATCAGTCAGGATTTGGCCCAGAAGCTAATATCCAGCATGCCACAAGGGTCAACACTGTAAATATTGACTCATATATTTATTTATGTATTTATTTTATTTATTTTTTTGCCAATAAAAGCCTTTAAAACTTATATGCTTATCATTGTTTTTCAGTATACCATAGAAACATGTTGAAAAATAATCTACAAATACTGAAGCAGCAAACTTTGCAAAACACAATTTATGTCACTGCCAAAACTTTTGGCCATGACTGTAGTTTAATTGTGTGGGGGAAAAAATTGCAATGAAAGTGAATGCAGGCTGAGGCTGTCAGTCCCTAACACTCCATCTTTGGATGAACTAGAGGATAAGTGGGTATGGAAAATCCCTTTAAACAATGAATAGCACACACTATACTTTTTTAGTGTACTTCTAAAAAAACACTTTTTCTAGTGTACAACAAATCCTCTTGCAGAAGGAATTGTTGTATTACACGTATATTATCCATTTATTTAAAGTATTTTGTAGTAGTAGTAGTAGTAGTAGTAGCCTAGTCATGTTTTTGATGTATTGAATCTGAATTGTATTAAGTATTGTTAACTGAGGTTTTGTATTTTATTCAAGTAAAATAAATAAATAAATAAAAAATTACGTGCCCGTCCAGAAGTGGGCGCAGTTGCGAAATAAAATCTTACTTTGGAGGAAGAAGAACAAGCTATGTAAACAGGAAGATCATGTCAGTTGTGTCACAAAAGCAAACGACGTGATATTAGAAGAAAGATTTCATTCTTTAGTTAATAGTTTACTGATTAATAATAATCTCGTACAATAGGAATACGCATTGAATTTGTTGTCCAAAAATAAGTATGTCGGAGGCAAACGGGATGACAGATGCCCAATTGATACAGCAGGTTGGTGTCAAACGTTCTGTCACATGCAGTTTAAAATCCTAGTTCAGCTCCGTTTACTTGTTTGGTTGTTCATTATTATTATTAAACGTATTCCAATATGTTTTGTCACATATGTATTGATAACTACGACGACAGAAATATATCACCATGTTTTAATGTTGTACTATGGTTTATGGTTGATATTTGGCGTTCTAATCGGCACTTGTCTTTGTATCCCGGTTGCAGTTGGCGCTGCTGGGTTGGCTGAAGACGGACAGTGTTCAGTGTAAGCAGCTGCTCACTGCGGTCACTGGGATGCAGGTGGCCCGTGAGCTTCTGGACAGACTCTCTGGGCAAAGCCAAATAGATGCTTACAGGGTAAGATGCGTCTGTTTTTTGTTGACTTTACAAAACGTATTGTGGTTGCACAGTCTGGCACAGTATAATAAAGTACGCTTTAATATAGAGGAGGCCTAGGAAAATTGTAAAACTAAATTTCTTCAGCGTGATGACACCATTTCAGCTCTTTCCCAGAGTTATCTCTGCCATGAGACAAAGATATTCGACTGTACATACATATATAAATGCATACACAGCTGTAATAATAGTTAAATAAAAATTGTATGAGTTGAAAAATGTAATCTTTAAAATGCATAATGAACATTTATTTAAATTACAACCTGAAATATTAGTAAAATGTGTATATATATATATATATATATATGGATTATTTATTTACAGATCCATTCATTTATAAGTCTATTAATGGAATATTTAATATGTCACAAAAAACATACATTTTTGTTATTTCAAGAACTTTTCAGAAAACTTGTGTATAGTTGTAGAAGGTTAAGTTGTGAAATAATGAAATGGGTAGGGCAAAGTTTTGGGATCAACATGTATGATTTCTGAAGGTGACACTGACTGGAGTAATGGCTGCTGAAAATTCAGCTTTGCCATTACAGGAATAAATTACATTTTAAAATATATTAACAAAAATTATTTTAAATTGTAACAATTCACAATATCATGGTTTTACTACATTTCTGATCAAATAAATGCAGCCTTGGTGAGTATAAGTAATTCTTTCAAAAACATCTTTCAAAAATGTTACCATCCCCAAACTTGTGAATGGTAACGTACATTTATACATTTCTTAGTTTCACTTTTTAATGATTTTACCCCTATGTACTTCACAGTTGTAGTGTAAATAGTGTATATTGTATCGTTTTATACCGTACTGAATTGTATATTGTCTTTTTTGTAATGTTAGAAAGAATCCATTATGACAAATGTATTGTGAATGCTGTCACAATCTAACCAATCTAATCCATTAAACCCAAACATCAATTTTAATTAGTTACAGAATGGATTACAGAACACATCCATTGTAGACCAGACAAACGTTTGTGACATGTGATTTTCTGCTTCCACAGAGGGAATGTATCCAGAGCATTGCTGACTGGCTCTGTTTCTCATTAATTTTTGTTTGTATGTACGGATTTAATTTTGATTTAGATTATATTTAGCATTTTGCCTCCAAAATGTTTGTACTTAGCAGGCAAGAAACCTGATTCGCTGTTAAGGCAAACAGTAAATTTGGACATTTTCACTTTGGGGTGTACTCACTTTTGTGGCCAGTGGTTTAGACATTAATGGCTGTGTGTTGAGTTATTTTGAGGGGACAGCAAATTTACACTGTTATACAAGCTGTACACTCACTACTTTACATTGTAGCAAAGTGTCATTTCTTCAGTGTTGTCACATGAAAAGATATAATAAAATATTTACAAAAATGTGAGGGGTGTACTCACTTCTGTGAGATACTGTATATAATGTTGAACAACGACTCAGGCCAGTTTGGAAAGCACTGATTTTTAACACATCGACAACAAAGAAAGACAAAGAGAACGGTCAGGTGGATGAAGAGAAAAGAGAGAGGAAAAAGAGGAAAGACAGAGAGACTCCATAATGAGCTTTGGGCGATGACTATATTCATCACACAGCACCTGCGATGAATTACATTATGCAGATCACACTTCTCAGATCTCTTGATGACTTTAAAGACAGTGTAGCACTCAGAGCCCAAACCCATGATTAGCACTGCTGCATTTGGAATAATAGAAATGCAAGACATGGCTATCTTTTCGGTTTCTCGGCGGCAGTTGCCAAAACACTTGTTTTCTGACGAGGACAAAGTTTATGAATAAAATACCACACACTCTTTTGATATAGTGCTTGTCTGTCTCCACTGCACCTGGGCACTTACAAGCAATGACCAGTACTCTAATGATGGGGGAATACAGTCTTGTGAGCTGGCAACCAAGATGAAAGGAAAGGGTGGGCTGGTCAGAGAGAACAAAGCAATGTCATCTCAGCCATCTAAGCACATCTCACAATAGAAAGAGAATACCATGGCTATATTTTTGTCTGTCAACATCAAACAAAGCAATATTTTAATGTCAGTGAAGCAACAGGCAAATGGAGGTCTGTCAGTTGTTTAAAGCTTTTAAATTGTACTTGTTGATTGAATGTCCTTGAAGTTGCATTTTCAGAGAGATGATGATTGTAATGGGGTAGGGGGTGATTTGTGAGTGTTTAGGTATTTATTATGACAGTGCATAAGAACAAATTACCATGGTCACTATAATTTGTGTGAAAATGCCATAACTGATGTTTTTTCTTTTTATGACATAAAATGTATTGTAAAAATTAAAAAAAAAAAAAAAAGGAATAACAGTTAAAATGCAAAGTTAAAAAATGTATTACAAATTTGAAAAAAGAACATTTTAATGGCGAAGATTTACAATGATGAAAATAAATGTAAATTAAGTCCGCCTTCCAATGTCTATGTCGGCTCTCTAAAGATTATATGGCTATAGCTTGATAAAACAAGCCGACAAAATATTGCGAAAATTATAGAAAGCTCTTACTGGGCTATTCTTTCTGTAAATTCTTTCAGTGGATACGTGTATAGTAAAAGATAAGACTTGATTCGATCAAGAATCGGAGTGGATGATTTAGTGATTCATAACACACCAAAAGACTTGTTTAGTTCTGCTAGGCGTACTGATGTAACCTGCAGAAAACAACACCGAATGAATCAGTGAAAGAATATTTTTAGGTTTCGAAGGATTTGAGTCCCCACAACTACTACCTATAGGTTGCTCGCTCAGCTCATATTCTCTCTCTCTCTCTCTCCCTCTCGCTCTCTACTCCTCAGCTGCATCATTCAATCACGCGCTCCCAAGGATTCACACTTGCCAGGAATATACGGCACCTATTAAGTTTAACTAAATGTTTCCACCACTTTTGATTCTTTTACCTCGCTCCATTAACATAGCAATATTGTTTGGAGTACTATGGTGACATGACGGTGCTCTTCCTCAAATATAAAAAATTTAATCAGGTAGGTAACCTTCAATTTCACCACTCTAAAAGTTTGTTTGTGATAAACAAACAATTCATTATCACCTAAATTAGGAAAATGTGACCGACATTAATAATAGCCAACCATGTATGTTGATAGTAATCAGTGATCTAATTAATTTATAAAAATAAATAAAAATAAAATAGAATAGAATTGCAAAAAATGCAGAATGTATAATAAAACAATGTTGTATTCTGTAGTACTGTGTGCATGATAACTTAAAAATAATCAGGATCTAGTGATCTTTGAAATAGTATGATACTAATGTACTGCTTAAATACATTTCCTTACAATCCTTTTCATGTTTTTTTCCAGCCAGCTCAAGCATGATTTCACATCGAGACCACAACGTTATTACTGAATGGTGCAACACCAGCTATACTTGGACAGCAAGATGTGAAAAGATAACAATCTTGCGCTTGTCTGCCTACTGTTACCTGCTAACCCAAAAGGTGTATCTTGAGGTCTTATTTCCTGGACCATGTGTCATTTTACTTGATAACCTTGCTGTGTACGATGGTGCCACTGGAGAAAGTGATGCGATTATGAGTCCAGCAGAATGGTAATGGACATGAAGAACTTTGTCCGGTACACTTTTGTCCCTCATTTTTGAACTGTATCTGAAAGCAAGAGCAACATACAGTTTTCATGTGTCTCTACGTCTTCTAAAGCCCATTGTGGTGAAGTCTATGTTTGTGTTTTAATTGTGAGTGAAAGTATTTGTTTTCTTGTGTCTGTGTTAGCGGCTGTGCATGTTTGCCTGTTCTTGTCATTTCCTGCTGGTGATCAAGTCATGCCACGTGGAAGAGATGTCAGCAACAGCTGTTGCCTCCCACTGCACCTGAATGAAGACAATGCCCGTTTTGGCTTGTTGGCGGCCTTCATCCTCCTCTACCTGCTGTGTGGGGCGGTGGTGTTCTCCGCACTTGAGCATCCCTCTGAGCTGCAGGCTCACAGGCGCTGGAACGAACAGCTGGCTAACTTCACGGAGCAAAACAGCATAAACCTGAAATCCCTAGAGGTCCTCCTAAAGCAATATGAGGAGGCCTTTGCTACTGGGATCCGAGTGGACAAACTTAGGCCCCGCTGGGATTTCTCAGGAGCCTTCTACTTTGTTGCTACAGTGGTCTCCACTATTGGTGAGTTCATATAATGTCATCTATGCATTCAGATTTTCATAACTGCAAAAGAGAATTTACGGGCCTGGAGAGCCACAGTCCTGCAGAGTTTAGCTCCAACCCTAATCGAACACACCTGAAACTACTAATCAAGGCCTAAGAGTTACTAGAAAGCTACAGGCAGGTGAGTTTTTGTCAAGGTTGGAGCAAAATTCTGCAGGACTGTGGCTGCCCCTGTATATATAAATATATATATATATATAAATGCCAATACTGACTTCATTTACTTGCCCTGATGTAATTAATTTTCTTTCTTCCCAAAAAAAAAAAAAAATGCATATGCAAATTTGCATTGCATGACATTCCCCTCTCCTTTAACTTTGAAATCTTTCAAACTTGCCCCACCTCAAGATGCTCCCTGCCAGGTTTGACATGATGTCAAATGTTATTGGCTATTGCTGTTCTTGTGACCACTCACAAAATACTCAAATTGAGTGCCCACAAGTATAAATTAGACTTGAAAGACACACATATGGTATATTTTAGCAGCTTTTGAGCATGACAGCCTCTGGTGACTGTCTACTTTCATGATGTTTTTTAAAACTTTGTATCCCACAGAAGGCGTAAAACCATAGCAGTTTGAAGTGACATGAGGAGGGCTAAATGATGTTTTTAAATAGGAATAAATGTATTAAAATAATTTCCTGTTTCCTTCCAGGCTTTGGCATGACCACTCCTGTCACCATTGCAGGTAAGATCTTTTTGATATTCTACGGACTTATTGGCTGCGCAGCAACAATCCTCTTCTTCAACCTCTTCCTGGAGCGCATCATCACGATGTTGGCCTACATCATGCGCTGGTGTCACGAGCGACAACTGCGCCGCTCTGGCATGGGAGGAGAGGAGGCCAGGAGCGAGGACGACAGTCTGGAAGGTTGGAAACCATCAGTCTACTACGTAATGCTCATTCTGGGCATCGCCGCCCTGCTGATTGCATGCAGTGCTTCTGCGTTGTACTCTGCCATGGAGGAATGGGACTACTTTGAGTCCTTGTACTTCTGCTTTGTGGCCTTCAGCACCATTGGCTTCGGGGATGTGGTGAGCAGCCAACGGGAGTTCTATAAAGCTCAGGAGACCTACCGTCTCGGCAACTGCCTCTTCATCCTCATGGGTGTTTGTTGCATTTATTCCCTGTTCAATGTCATTTCCATCATTATCAAGCAGACGCTCAACTGGATCCTCGGCAAACTGGACTGCAGCAGGGCTCAGTGTCCCTGCCGTGGCCGTCCATACAGAAGAAAAGGTCGGGCCTGCTGTTGCTGTTGCTTTCCACGCATTTCCAACCAGTGGCACAACCACCACCCTCCACTGGGACATTCCCGGCAGAGGGCTCAAAAGCGCAACGCCGTGCACCCTGCCCCGGCTAACGAAGCGGCAGGAAAGCGCTTCACTAATGCATCAGTGGAAACAGTTTGTGATAGTGAGACTGATGCTGGCTTAGGACCAGATGGAGGTTATCTGACAGGGCGCAGACTGTCTGGAGAAATGATCTCAGTCAATGACTTTATGACCAACAAGGTTTCTCTGGCCATTCTACAGAAGCAACTCTCAGAGACCGCTCACGGTAATCCAAGGCAGAGCCACGTTCGCCAGAACGGCTTCTCCGGTGGAGTGGGCGCCTTTGCTATCATGAATAACCGCCTTCAGGAGACAAGTGCCGACAGGTAGCTCGGTCATACAAAGATGGCGTTGGATATTGCACATTAAGGATAACTTTTAGTAAGGGTTGTGTACCTTTCAGAACTGAAATGAGAATGGCTTTAAAATCCCTGAATTTCAATTGCATTTGAGTTGCTGTAACAAACAGGATCCGGAATTGTAATTCAAATTTGAATGAAAGGAAGTAAAATTAAAATGAATTGAAATTCAAAGAAGTGTATATGACTAACCTTTAACTAGAAAAGCAAAGTTTAAATTTGTTAATGTGATAGTTCACTCCAAAATTAAAATTCTGTCATCATTTACTCACGCTCATGTCATTCCAAACCCATCAAACTTTCATTCATCTTCGAAACACAGAAGAAGATAGTTTTAATGAATAATATTCTTATGGCAATAACAGCCTAAACTAAACCTGCTCATCATATAAATCGATCATATCTCTTCAGAAGACTGGATTAAACCATTCAATTCACATGGATTATGTTTTATGTTTTATGAATTTTTGAATAGTTTTGGTGACACTAACTTTTAATGGAGGTACAGAAATCTCGTAGCTTTCAATAAAAATAAATATATTTGTATTTCAAAGATGAACAAAGCTCTTATGGGGTTGGAACAACATGAAGGTGAGTAAATTAAAGAATTTTCATTCATTTCGGTTTAACTATCCCTTTAGGACAAACTTTGAATGTTGGCTTGACAAAGCCTTAGTTGAAAGTTGTGGGAAAACGTTTTCTAAGTCTTATGGTCAGATAAATAGACAGATATATTTGAAATGTATTCAGTAAATTCCTCCTCCTGTCATTCCAAACCAGATTCCTATTCAACTTTTTGGATAATTCAATTCAAATTCACACTCACTGACTAAAAGACAGCAAATTCTTCAGTTCTGAATTTTTCCCCAACCCTGACTGAGTACTGCTCGTTGGAAAAATAAGTTATCAGAGGTTTTAGCAATTATTAAAGATGTTAAGTGTACATTTACTATTGGAATGGCTGTGCAGAGCAAATTAGATCAAATTAAAATAGCCACTTACCTCTGTAGATCAGAAGGACGGTGAAGGTTAGCATTTATGAATGGCTTCGTTCTGAAGAGTAGACGGCTTTCAAATTTTTTTATTTTTATTTTTTTACATCATTATAAATAAACCATATGATTTTAATGGTAACATCGCTTCTCAGAGTCGCTTTGATGCTGAAGTGATTGGCCGGTGTTGTAAGCAATCACACTGTGCCTCTAGAGAGTTCCTTTAACGGCTCTTCACGAAAACAGACTGATTTTCGAGAGCCAGGCAGATGTAGCCACGGCACTTACAGAGAGACAGTCCCCGGAGGAAGAAATACAAGTGTCAAATCAAAGGAAGATGGTCAGTAATATTCACTGTTTAATCGTTCCTATCACGCTTCCGTCAGTGTAGATTGTCTTAAGAAATAAATGATCTAAAATGAATACAAATAGACTTTTAGCAAAAGGGATCTAATGTGATAGTATCATCAGTATTTAAAAGACAAACTAAGTCATCTGTATACATTCTGTAGATATTGTATATTGTAAACACAAATATTACTTATTTGTTAAATATTTATTTTGGTATCAACATTTATGTGTTTCAGATGTACTCACGCCCTTTATATCTGTGTAACAATAGCCTGTTGTCAATCATAGAGCTTTTAAAATCTGTTTCTGAGTGACACTATAGGCATCAGTGTGACATAAATACAAGGTTTGCAAATTGCAGAGGAGCGAGTCTCTACTGCCCTCTTCAGGGTGACAGTGGTACTGCTTACTGTTGGTGTTACTCTTGTGTTGAAATCTGAGCTCAGCCACACACATTCACAACGTGTATGACTATAATTACCAAGAGGCCATAAAGTCTCTTTATGTAGCAGGACAGACATTAATAAACTAAAATCTCATGAATGACTTGATCTGTTTATTTTTATTACTCAACCTTCAACCTTTATGTTAGCACAAATATTGCACAATATCTGTAAAATGTGCACAAAGAAAGATCATTACATAACATGATATAGCACTGCATCAGTTATTTTGCTAGTCATTAGGAAATATCTCGTAATATTAACATGTTTATATATTGGCATAATTTCAAAGAGGTCAGTAAGGCAACACGATCATGCAAACAGAGAAGAGCGTATTACAGGAAACACCTATTCAAGAACAGGACTATATTACTATAGTGACTATATTATGAGCCTGTATAAACCAACATGTAAAAGTGCTTGTATTTAATAGAATTTGTTTTTAGAGATTTTAACATTTCAAGTTTGATGTGAATTCTTAAAGGGATTGTTCACCCAAAAATGAAAATTACCCCATAATTTATTCACCCTCAAGCCATCCTAGGTGTATATGACTTTCTTTTTTCAGACGAATACAATCTGAGTTATATTTAAAAATGTCCTGGCTCTTCCAAGCGTTATAATGGCAGTGAATGGGGGTCGAGATTTTAAAGTACAAAAAAGTGCATCTATCCATCATAAAACAGTTAATAAAGGCCTTCTGAAGTGAATTGATGCATTTGCCTAAGAAAAACATCCATATTTAAAACTTTATAAACCGTAATCTTCAGCTAACTGTCATACACGCATTCATGAGAGAGTGGTGTTCCAGCGTATGACGTAGGCGTAGCGTAAGCTCCAGTGAGAATATGCTAGTCTCGCGAGTACCAAGTTTTGCAAAGGAAAGGAAAACCAGGCTTTTCTCGGCTTATATCAAATCCTCTGACATTTTTCTTTACAAATCCTCGTTTCTGTCAGGACAGAAGATGATTGACAATTAGCATACAGTTTGGATTTGCTGTATGATTCTGTTCTGGGCAAGCATGGATGAGTTGGGCTAGCATGGATGAGAGCAGAGAGAGCAGCGATAACCCCCCCCCCAGGGTAAACAGAACAGAACCAACATAAATGTATTGCAGATATCGTTAAAGTTCAATAATGTTATGTACACATTTTAGAATTAGCCTGATGCCAAGGAGAAACAGAAGGCGGAATCCTGACTGACAGAGGAGGAGTTGGGGATGGAGGAGGGTAATTAGCTATTGAGCAATGCGAAAACTGCTGATAATACTGAGGGACCTTATATATGAATGCTTAGATAGGTGTCGTATTCCCATAGGTTGATGGGGATCAGCTGAAAGTCAGCTGATGCGAGCTTGACTAACGTGACCTGCCAGAACTAACGCTACGCTAGATGTTGTACTTCTAATTCGTGACCGGTATTTTGTTTTGCTCTCTCCTCTGAGCTTCTGCATTTATCACTTCTCACCGGAGATTAAGCTACGCCTACGTCATATGCTGGAACTCCACTCTCTCGTGAACGCGTGTACAACAGTTAGCGGAAGCTAGAGACTACGGTTTATAAAGTTTTAAATATTGATATTTTTCCTACACAAATGCATTGCTTCACTTCAGAAGGCCTTTATTAACCCCCTGGAGCCGTGTGGAGCACTTTTTATGATGGATAGATGCACTTTTTTGGGCTTCAAAATCTTGATCCCCATTCACTGCCATTATAAAGCTTGGAAGAGCCAGGACATTTTTTAAGTCATATACACCTAGGATGGCTTGAGGGTGAGTAAATCATGGGGTTATTTTCGTTTTTGCGTGAACTATCCCTTTAAAGGTATAGTTGACACAAAAATGAAATTCCTGTCATTATTTACTTAAGATCATGTTGCTCCAAACCTGTATGCTGTTGTTTCTTTTTCCTTTTATCAAACACAAGATTTTTTTCCCCCCTCTAAACAAAATAATTGGACCAAGACTAAGCAGTAAAGGCAAGTAAATACTTTTTGGGTGAACTATTCCTTTAATACATCAGCATTAGCTTGTCGCTAATTTACTGTTCCTCAGAATCCAGAGACTTCTGTCAAGTTCTGGCTTTTTTATTGTATCAATTTAAAAGTGACCTGTTATATGCCAAGACTGAAGAGAATCTCAAAAGTTTGTTGTCACTGCTTGAACACATTACCTGAGTATTGTCGATTGTAAGACTCATTGTATACATTTGGTAAGGAAAATACTGAACGTATCACAATCTAAAGAGTCAAAGTTATATACAGTCATTATTGTCCTGCATTGTGGCACAGCATTGCTTTTTGTAAGTTTCGTCATTCATGAAACATACAAAAAGAAGGACGTAAAATGTTTTTTTTTTTGCTGTCCAAAAACATCTTTCTAATTTTTTGTTTAAAAGACAGAAAACTGATCAAAAACTGATCCCCAACCAAACAAATCCATTAATCGTTTATGTAAGATGGTCTCTAATTGGCATCTGTAGGACTGAGTTCCTGAAAAGATACAAATGACAGGAATTCATATTAAAAATGCTTAAACATTAAGTTAATGTACAGTAATGACAAAATCATTAGTAATTTTAACATATATATATATATATATATATACAGTATATATCTTATATTAAATATTATTATAACATAAAATGGATCTGTATAGAAGCTTACCTGGGCTAATCTAGATCGCCGTGCCTCTGTCTGCTGATAGTATGCTGAAATGATACAGTTCCGTCTGCAAATGTCCAAAAATTATGATATTTCAAAGTTCAATCCACTGTTCTTTTGGCAGTCATTACAAATACATGTCAATTGAGCTGTACTTGTGGAGCTGATTGGTGCTCTAGGGAAGGTGCACCAATCAGCTCTAGTATTATTATTATTATTATAATAGTTATTATTATTATTATTATTAAATTAACTGCTTACATTATCATATTAAATATAAGCCAAAAAATAAATATTAATAATAATAATAATTCAATATCAATCAATATCAATTATAATAAATGATTCTTAAAAACAACAACAACAATAATAACAATAATAATGGTAGAAAGATGAATAAGAATGCTTATTTAAGGTTTTCTCATTGTATTATAGATCCTGTTGGGAATAAACCGATTTAAAGCACCGGGACTGTGATATATCTATTTCATGCAACAGCTGTACCTAAAAATGTTCATGTCACAGTCTGTGAAATAAGTTTTCAAACTTCTCTCAGACAATTGCTGACTGCTATTTTGAGCAGAAGTAAAGCATGATAGACAACATGCACTCACTTGCTCTGAAGGCCGCCCCCTGGTGGAAGTCCAGGAATCACTGTTGAAGCCAGTACTGTCAGAACTGACAGCAGATCAGGCTCATCACCTCTTGCGCTCAGCTCCTCAAATATCTCTGTCAAAGAAACATGCGTGCCAATGATTTAATTCCTCAAGCAGGCCGCTAGAGGACCATTTACTTTAACCATTATGTGACTCCATGATTTGAAAGGATTGCCATCTGTGACGTAAGTCATGTAAATCTTAAAAGCAACATCAGAAGAAGCCAGATTTAATCAGATGGTTTACCAGCTACTTTGGACTCCAGAAAGTCCTCCAGCTCAGCCTCCTGGTGCAGTGCTTCAGGTGACAGCTGGGGGGCGCCATGGAAACAGACTAGAATGATGCTGATGTTATCAAGGCTCCCCTGTTAGAAATACATAAAAAGACATTCAGAAAGGAAAAGTAAAAAAGAAAAAGAAAATAATAATAATGTATCTGCTATACGATTTATTCGCTAAACTCTTCTCTTTCCTCTGATGTTTCTTTAGATAGGGCAGGCAGTAGCGTGATGCTATCAGCCACTTTTGAGGCTTTTGTTCTAAGGACAACTACCTCACGTTGTTGATTAACTAGATTGGAATTGGTGACGCTAATGCAGACCGTATCCTTCATTTCTAAGGGATGTTGTTGGATTTCTATCCCTACATAGCACAATGCTAGGCCGAATGCTGTAATCTGCTCGCACCATGGCTAAAAGTAGATTATTCCGTTACAGTTTAGTGGCTGAATACAGCCTCACTTTGAGATGGTGGACGAAAGTGCAGTCATGACAGAGCAGGGTTCTGGCTTACTGTGGAGGGAAAGATGTTGACATTTTCAGGTCAGCACCTTTTCTGCAGCCTAAAGGCCATTCTGTATTTCTCTTACGTAATGTAACAGCCTGGTTGAAGTCAGCTCTGGATGCCATAGCCAAGAGAGTCCATATTTAAGATGTAGTTCATATTTTAAATTCTAAAGTACATTTTAAATAAATGGAAAATGTATTATATATTATAAATACAGTTTATTTAGTAAAAAAATCAGTATAAATACAGTTTATTTAGAAAATATCTATCAGAACGACATGAGCGTGATCTATCAGAAAAATGTGATGTGACACTGAAGCCTGGAGTACTGTATGCTGAAAATTTAGCTTTGCATCACAGGAATAAATTACATTTTAAAATATATTCAAATAGAAAATATAGTTATTTCAAATTGCAATATTGCACAAGATTACTGTTTTTACTGTATTGGTGAGATTTCATTGAAAATATTTAAAAATCATGTTTCCAAACTTTTGACAAGTCCTATATATATATATATATATATATATATATATATAAAGACCAAAAATATGATGCCATATAAGCAACTAAACCGTATCAAAAATATTTTAAATCTTTTTAAATAAACAAATTTATATTTTCACCTACATTTCTGCAGCTTAAAGTTTAAAGTGAAATGACATAACATGAATAAAGCAGTGAAGCTGGCATTAGATTTTCTGTAAGTTGCTATCTAGCGACAGTAGTAAACGGGGCTCTCACTCATGCTGGAACTCAAAGATATTCAGAAATGTCCCAAAACTGCAATGGGAAAAGAGACTTGCAGGGGTTTGAGGACAAATCGAACATGGATTTGGACCAAGCAATCTAAAACAGAGTGAAAACAGCCTAGAAATCTTCTGTTCGTACTAACCTTATAGAGGCAAAGGTCAATGACCTGGGAGCAGACCTCTCTCAGGTCTGTGCAGACACGAAGTCGGCTGTGTATGAAGGCACAGAGCTCTTCATTAGTGACAGTGTCCCACACACCATCGCAGGCCAGAACCAGAAACTCATCTGCTGGCGAGCGCTCCACAGCAGACACTTCCGGCTCTGGCGATACCATCTGTTCTGTGACCGGCCGCCACTCAGCTGTCTTGTAACTGAAGTCCCCCAACGCCCGGGAGACTGCCAGCGAGCCGTTCACACGCTGCACAGTCACCGATCCTCCAGCGTTCTCTATCCTCTCCCTCTCGCCGGGGCTGAAGGGCTTGTGGTCTTCCGTCGAGAAGGCCACCCGCCCCGCACGGCACAAGACCGCCCGAGAGTCCCCGCAGTTCACAAAGTAGATGTGGTGTGGGGTGATAGCGGTGGCAGTGACAGTTGTCCCTCCACGTTCCCAACCCTCACGGCAGGCCATGGCATGAAGGTGTTTGTCCATGAGAAAGAAGCCCTCCTTGATGCCCTCAGTGACCCTTTCTACATCCTCACTTGCTCGGATTTTGCCTGAGAAGGAACAGCTTATGTCACTAAATAACCAACACAATCTAGTCCACCGTTAACTGTGCAAGGCCTTTTGGTGACTTCAAACAGATCACGTTTGCATGTTCGCAAAGACAAATCTAAAGGCTTCATTAGAGAAGATTGCAAGGACCAACCATTATGCAACATCGAATTGCTTTATGTTGTACACCACAATTAACTCGTCAGATCAAGGCTTAATTAAGTCATAATGTTGCTGAGACTTTGGATGTACAGTAGGTCTGCAAATTAATCCAGTCCGATGAGATCCTCTTGGATCTATTCTAAAGAGATCAATAAGATTTCCCACATGATGTAATTTCTGTTTCTCATCAAAAGCCACTCAGTCATGAGGTTTGCCATGCTCTCAAATGACTATCGATGTACAAATATAGTATAAGCCAAAAAGATACAAGAAGTCCTACTGTTTGTAGGACAGCTTGTTGCTCACCTGTGCCCAGAATGTGGTCCAGCAGGTTTTGGGAGCAGTGTTGGGCCACCGCGCTCCCTGCGTGCCCATCATACACAGCGAAGAACCCCCAGTGGGCCAGTTCCCCTCCTAGCTGTGGGAAGCAGTTGTGGAAATCTTCCATGTGGGCCCTCCAACCCTGCATGCTGGCCAGGGCGTAGGTAAGTCCCCAGGAGGCACAGCCCTCTTGCATGTGCTTGTCCAGAACCGGTCGGTCCAAGTAGGGGCTAGGGATGACCCCTTCTTCTTCTCCTCCCTCTTCGCCTTCAGACAGCTCCCCTGCACCTCCCCCTCGCCCCCCTTTAAAAAAGGAGGTGACCCTTTTCTCGGTCTCCTTCACCAGTTGCCTTACAAAAGCAGGCATTTCCACGCTTCCTTTCCTTGATGTCCTCATGGTGTCTTTTTTTCTGCACTCGTTTGAATCTGTTCACGGCCTCCACCCTGTGCTGTAGCTTGCTGGCTTTGGTTCGTCTGTGTGCCGCCTTGCTGCTCAGGGCCTTCACAGCATTATCTCCCAAGAGGCTGATTCTGCACCTTGAAGCATCCTCGAATGATCCAATGTAGAACGGCTGATTTTCCCTTCTGTTACTCTACCATTGCTAGACATATCACTGAGATCTAATCTATCTGCAGTCATAGTGGCTCTTTCCAATTTGATCCACTTTTGTTGCCTTCCTCCTCTATATGTCAGTGATATTCCCTTTCTCTAAGCTTTCTCTCTGTCTGAGCCCGTTATTTTCCTGTCATCTCTCTGATTGGCTGAGCTATTTCTATGCACCAATCATCTCGCAGTGTCCTCCCTCTTTTTGTACACACCACATGCAATCCTTTTGCAGAGTGGCTCTCTCTCTTTCACATGTTCAGTGCCTCTCTCTCTCCCTCCCTCAGTTTCTCCTCTTGAACTCCCTCTGTTAATCATCTCTGCTGAACATTTGATAATTTTGCATTACCTAACATACACAGATTGATGTGCATAACAGATTTTCACAGTAGCCCAGTAAGAGAGAATGGCAGAGAGAGAGAGAAGGCACATAGTACACTCTTCTTAATGTTATGTGAGGCAGATTCAGTGATTCATATTAAAGAACATGGTTTGCCTTAAGCAGAATTTATGAATGGCATATTCAAATATGAATTTGGGAGACTCTAACAAAGGTTGATTCAGACAGATTAGTGGATTATGTAAATAAAAAATGCCTTCATAAACATTCTTACATAGGCTATTTTTGTCTTTTTAACTCTTTTTTTTTTTGTGGGTCGATGGAATGACGCACACAAAAATGTCTCATGAATAAATGCGTTTGATGGCATTGCATCAGATGCTTGTAGTACTGACTCATCTGCTGGGCCAAGCAACCTGGAAAAAAAAAAACATAAAATGAAGAAATAATTTGATTACAATATTAAAATAATTAATTTAGATTAAAATTAAGTTTAGATTTTTAAACGAGGAAGGATAGCTGTGTGTGTGTTTATAAAGATGGGGTGTCCAACTGGTTGAGATATTATTAGGTCAGGCCAACCCCTTCCGCTGACAACGCTAGGATGGCCAAAAAAAGCCCAGAGGGTTCGTGGAGTGCTGGGAGGAGAGGGGGTTTGGTGTGGAAGCAGCAGAAATGGCCAGCAAAGGTGAGAGTCTTCTGCTGTGCTGGGATCGAGCTCTCCTGAGCTATATTGTTTACACATGTAATGAGCAGGTACGCGAAATGCAGGTTGGCAGTAACTGAGAGGGGTGGGGGGAGGTTAGGAGATCAGATTGAAGTTGAGTGGTGTACTCTAGAGGTATAGTAATACTATATAGTAATACATCAAACAGGACTTCCCAATGGAAGCTTGGCAGGCTGATGGGAATCTAATGGATGGACTGCCTTCCGGAGCCGACCGATGCATGACTCTAGGATTTTAAGGCAAAAACTGAGGCATTGATGTCTGAATGAAGGAAGTGAGATCTTCTCTCAGTCTTATTTTGGCAGTGCTGGCAGACATCTCCCTGGAGAGATTCAATCTGACCCCGCCATGTTAGGCTGCAATAAATTGCAGTAGCAGGAGTGAAGGCCATGTGGAAGATTTCATGCAGAGAAGATTTCAGAGGGTTTGGATTGATCTGATAAAGGCTCATTCAGCTTTGCGCCAGTGTGCGCCACAGCACAGATTTGCACCTGCGTTTGGAGGATAATCAGAATCAACAGCTGTTGGGGTCTATTGGCTTCACAGGGGAAGGGGCGTGTGAATGCACACTGCCATTAGCTGTTCCACAGTGTTTGTGTCCATGCACTCTCTGACACGAAGGCTTCTTGTCTATTTATGTCATATGTTTGTCTCAGAGATGTAACATTTGCACTAAATTATTGCAGTTGTACAAAATAATGTGCAAATTCTTTGGATTCACTTTTGATTCAGATTAGTACGTTCATGTGCAAAAATTAATGTGTTTACAGACTGTTTGGCCTGTGGTGTATAACGTGACCAAGCTTTGTTGGACAGTTATGTGGTTTCAATAAGGGTTTCTGGCAGAGTCAGCTTACTATATTACTTTTACTTTTTAAATTTCAACTTACAGTCAAGTCCTTGACAAGTTTAAGGCCACTCCCGTGGATTTGAGAATTTTAGAATTCCACCTTTTCTTTTCTGTCCTTTTGCAGTTGTTTTCATATTCCACTGAGCCTTGCTTATCCTTTGATTGTGCTGTGCGAGTGTTTTCACCCTGCTTCACATTGCCTGAAATTCAAGACAAAAATAACGACTGACAATGTTTAGACAGACAAAGTATATTTTTAATATTTTGTTTTTGGATACTCGCTATGAACTCTACCCCTCCCATGATTACTGTTAGATGAGTTCTACACAAAGAAAGTTAGAAACTGGGTGACTGAATGACATTCAGCCTTTAAAAGCATATTAAAATAGACAGTTTAACAATGGTAATACTGGGTAATGATCATGTTGCAATCTAATTATATAAAATTTCTCAGTAATATAGATGACCACTCATTGCTAAAACGTCCTGCTAGCTAACTAAAAAAAGAGGTTGCAGATGTTTATATATTCACATATGGCATCACTTTTGTGGTAAAAGAGAAACTTCTTGAAATAGAGAGATAATTCAACTGAAACAACATGAAATTAAGGGACACAGGAAAATCAATGGGTTTTTTTTCTCAATATTTAAAATTTTTTTTTTTCAATAATTAACGTGTCATTTTCGTGACATAGTGCTTGGACAATAAGATGACACAGTAAACACTGCGTAAATGTAAATTGCCGCCTTTTATCAAATCAAAAGTCCTATGAATTGAAAAGCCCAGAGTGAGGGATAGGCTAATTTGCTAATCTCTTTTCTGAATTTTTATTTGATTGAAATTTTCCGAAATAATATAAACAATTTTGTTTACATTCAAAAGAGTTAAGACTCAAAATGGATATTTTATTTAAAATATCATAAACTATTAATTCTAAGGTGAATTCATTCAACTAAAGTTTGTGGACTAACTCAAAGAATGGAGGAAAATCTGCAATTGTAATTTGATTTTACCACAAAAAAATGACCAGACACCCTGTGCAAACATGCATATCTGACCACCCAAACACTCCACCACAAATCCCCCCCGTGTCCCCCTTTAAGACCGACTTCAAAGCAGTACTGCATGGTCATTGCATTTCTCCCTCATTCTCTTTTTCTCTATCTTTCCATTATTCTGCCTGACTATGCCTCTGTTTATTTCCCTGACATCTAACACATACATTTTTCTTACCCTCCATAGTGTTGGATCTGTTATACTGGCGGGATGTGGGGACCACCGGGCTGGTGTTTACAGGTTTGGTTGTGGGTTTGGCTTGTTTGTTCCAGCTCAGTGCCATCACGATCCTGTCCAACCTCGGTTTGGGCATTATGGCCTTCACCCTCCCTGTACGCTTACTCTACAAAGCCATGAAGCTTGTCCGCCTCAGTGATGGATCTCATCCCTTTCAGTGAGTATGCTGTAAAACAAATAACATGTTTCTACACAGCCGTAAGCCTAAAGGTGTAACTGACATGCTGTTTACTGTACCTCTTGGAGTAGATGGAGTAGTAGCAGAAGTCTTGTCAGTGTTTGCATGCGAGTCGATTAGTTCACTAATTCATTCAACAATGAAACAAGTCCAATTGTGGTGTGCTATGAAAACAACAACACTCTTGTTTGTGTGATATTGCTTATAAAGTTACAGACCCCCAGTCTGCCCTTTTTGCAAGCTGGTTTGAATGGATGAGTTCACTCTGATGTAGTCTATATCAAGTTGATCATGGGTTAAAATATAAAAAATTAAATATTAAAATATGAATTCTTGAGATGCATAACAGATATGCAGATTTAAAACAAATGTTGAATGATTTGGCAGGAGCTCGATGGAGGGTAAAGCAACTCAAATAAGTCTGGATTAATACATGTAATCTTTCTCAGCTGGTCAACTTTTCTTTATTAAAAAGGTCATATTTGGATGAGGACCGTACGCTGACAGATGAGGACACAGTTCGCATGGCGGAACAAATGGTTCTGCTGATTGCTACGGCTGTCACCGAGTTGAAGCGGCTGTTCTTCATCGATAGCATCATGGACTCAGTGAAGGTCTCACATGCGTCTTAAATATCTCACCTCAGCTACACCAAGCAATTTTTATGCTTTTACTGCAATTTATGGCCTACTTTCACTACATCAGGGGATACTACTCTCTTACATAATTAGTCCTGATATGAACTATTACCATGTGCTTTCATTCCCAAAGGCAAAGGTTCTGTGAGAATATGCAATAGTGAAAGTAAAGAAATTTGTATTTGGAAAAGAAAAATTGACCTTTATTAGTATAAGAACATAATGTTCCTGGTACAGCAGGGTGCTAGCAATAGATTAAATTCCCAGTGAACACAAATACCGATAAAAATATATAGGCTACCTTCAATGCACTGTTAATCTCTTTGGATAAAAGCATCTAAACGTAAATATGATTGAAATCTAAAGTAAAATGAAAATATAATTCTTTTATCTGAATGGTTGTATTTTATTTGTTTGTGTAGCTTGTTGTGTTCCTGTATTTGTTGACTTATGTGGGGGTCCAAGCCAATGGTCTCACGCTGGTTATGACAGGTAAGGATATCCTGTTGAAATTTGTAAAGATTCATGACAAATCACAGCTGACACTATTTTTGACCTAATGTCAGTAACAATTCAGTTGAAAACATTTAGTCTGAGTGAATTGGATTATACCTTATCAAGTATTACTGCTTTGTCGTGATGATACATTATATTAATGTACAGTAATTCTTTCACCTTTGAACAGGTGTGATATGTGCTTTCTCTCTGCCACTCTTATACAGACTTCAACAGGTAAGTGTGTGCCTCATTTGGACATTACACACAGGTCTATATTTAAGGGGTCATATGATGCGATTTAAATTTTTCCTTTCTCTTTGAAGTGTTACAAGCTCTTGGTGCATAAAGAAGATCTGTAAAGTTGCAAAGACTAAAGTCTCAAATCCAAAGATATATTCTTTATAAAAGTTAAGAGTCAACCACGCCTACCTTAAACGGCTCGTTCTAACACGCCCCCAACATGTCTACGTCACGATGTGGGAAGATTTGCATAACGCCGCCCAAATGTTCACGCAAAGAAAGAAGGCGTAACTTTTATTCTCGCTGTAGTATTGTTGTTGCCGCCGCCATGTCGTGAAGGCGCTGTGTGTTTCGTTGTGAAAGCGAAACTACTTTGTTTGGCCTTCCAAAAGAGGACGATATCCGCTTCGTCATACCTGGAGCTGATCCGTGCTGGTCGCTAAGGGAATACATCAACTTCGTGCTGTGGTTCTTAGTCCAGCCCGGGGTCGTCACTTGTGGTTGCCGCAAGCCCGCCGGACGCTTCCTGGTAGAGTAGACTACAATGCCGGCTGTTCTGACTCACAGACTGTAAGTACGTTTTTTATATTTAAAGAATTTGTCACTGACGATTCAAAGCAAGTTTTGAGCAGTGTAGAGTAGCTCTTGTAGTTTGTCATTTCTCCGATCACAAATGCAGACAAGAGTTTTATGTTTACGCGGCGCGATGCAACGCAACACGTAAAAAGACAGTATAAGTCATTATAATCCGTAATTATGTCCCCACTGGATGCAACAAATGCCTCGTTTGTAATGGGTTTTAATGTTTATGTCTCATCGCTCCGGCCGGACACGGCATCAACAGTATGGTGAGGGGCGTAACATTTCCGTCACACGCTTGAGGTATTCGGCCAATCACAACGCACTGGATAGCTGGCCAATCAGAGCACACCTCGCTTTTCAGACCGATGAGCTTTGTAAAATTCGACGCGTTTCAGAAAGGCGGGGCATTGAGGAGAAACAGTAATGTACAGTATGTGGAAGATAATGTGTTTTTTCTGAACCTTAAACCGCATAAACACATTTCATTACACCAAATAATACAAAATAATGTTCTTTTTAGCAACATCATATGGCCCCTTTAAAAAAAAAAAAAAAAAAAAAAATTGGTCAAAATGTGTTTAGAAACTATAGATGTGTGTTAGTTAACATCAGGAATTGCCCCTTCCCCTCGACCAGAACTGCACTTATTATCAGATCTCATTAATTTATGCACATAGATTCACACCATAGGCTACTTCAGACTTAACACTTATTTTTTGTTTTCATTTTTGACAGGCAAGGATCGACAAGATTGTCAAAGCCATCAAAAAACTTGTGGAAAAAGTCACAGAAATGTAAGTGTTCATCATTCTGACATGAGCCGTAATGAAAACAATTCAAAGTGAGCCAGGAAAAATTAAGCAAGCCTACATCTTAATGGAACAGTTCACCCAAAAATGAAAAATTGCTGAAGATTTACTCACATTTACTCACTCTCAGTCCATGCAAGGTGTAGATTAATCTGTTTCCTCATCCCCAGAAAAGATTTGGAGAAATTTAGCATTACATGACTTGCTCATCAATGGATCCTCTGCAGTGAATGGGTGCCGTCAGAATGAGATTTCAAACAGCTGATTAAACATCACAATAATCAACAAGTAATCCACATGACTCCAGTCCAGCAATGAATGTCTTGCGAAGTGAAAAGCTGCATGTTTGTAATAAACAAATCCAAGGTGTTTTAACTTTAAACTGTTTCTTTGGATCAAAATAATCCATAATCCACAATAGCACTTGCTCCAGTGAAAAAGTCCACCATCAAAATCCACTGACATATTTTTCTAGAACTTTTTTGGACTGTTTTCACTAGTAAACAGTGTTTGATCTGTGCTTATTTCTCTCTTGATTAAGAAGACATTACTTTCACTGGAGAAAGCAATATTATAAAGAGGACTAATTTTTAAGCAACAATTTGAAGCTAAAAACATCATAATGGTGGATTTGTTTATTACAAACACACAGCTTTTCACTTCACAAGATGCTAATTGGAAATGGACTGGAGTCAAACAGTTTACTTGGACTCTCATTCTGGCGGCACCCATTCACTGCAGAGGATCTACTGGTGAGCAAGTGGTGTAATGGTAAATTTATCCAAATCTGTTCCGATGAAGAAACAAACTCATCTACAGCTTGCATTGCCAGAGAATCAGTAAATTTTCAGTAATTTGTAAAAAATTTTTTGCACTATTCCTTTAAGTCTATATTAATCCAAATGTTTATATTCTCCCAGCAAAGACACAAATGATAATCAAACCACATTCTTTATGACTTTAATTAACTAAAATAGTTTACTTTCTTGAATTTATCATATATGTTCTCTTTGCCACTCCTTTCACATTTCTCTTTTCTAGAGTTGATCTTGTGATTTCACTGGCCAAACCTCCACCAGCCCCAGCACCTTCCCCTGCCCCCACACCAAAACTTACGCTGCAGCTGTAGCCCTGCGAGTTCAGCAGGGTCGGGGGTTTGGGGGTTATGAACGAGTGTTATGTTTTATACTACGTTTCTTATGGTGCTAAGAGAATCTTCAATAGGTCTTCTGAAAGGAATTAAACAACAGACTTCAGTCAAGATTAGTCCAGTTGTATGCTTAATGATGTATTCATTTAACTCAAACTTTCAAACTATATACAGTTGTGTAATATTTATTAGTTCATTTTGCCCAACAAGGCTTTTATTCTACTGATTTTCATAGAAAAATCGAACCTAGTGGCAGCTGCGAGTATGTTTTTGTCCACTAGAGGGTACAATGACACCATATAATCACAGCAGTTCTGGGTCAGGACAGAATGTTGCAGAAATTCTGTCATGTAAATTTGTTTAAAATTTTCTAAAATTACAATTACCAATAGGATCATGCTCGTAATTTGGGTTTTAATATTTAATACTGAATGTTTCATGTTACAGAGCAATTCAAAACTATAATTGCTCTGTAACATGAAACAAAAGTTTAATGTTTTAAAGTAAATTAAAGCTTTAAAGTAAATTTATAAGTTACTTTAAAACAAGTGCTGTTTTGCTTCCCCGACTTTGCACATATTTTGTGCAACATCCCCCAGTAAACACGTGTTTTCAATGTTATTTGCCTTATTTTGTATTTGACAACATGCAAAGCATCACATCGTATATATTTTCGGCCTTGCACAGAAATGCTTCTTTTGTGGGAAATAAGCAGCTGCTAAGGATGCAAACTCCTTTGAGAAGAGTCCCAGGAACGGCAATTTCAAAACATTCAGTTACATACTGTTTGCAGATGACAATCTAATGCTGAACAGAAACAAATATAGGATGTCTTTTGATGTTCAATTACTTCCATGCCAGAATGGTGATAAACAAAATCTGGTAATTGTCTTCACAGGCTTTTAAGAGAGTATCTATAATGACATTGCTTCAAAATTTATGGAGGGGACTGTTTAGAAAGCACGAAAAGAACATCTCACACACTACGGGAAGACAGTTTCATGCGCACTGCAGGAACACTCAGGGATGTAAGGGAAAAAATACTCCACTGACAAGAACAGTGGCACTCGGAGGAACATTTTGTATTCATTGCTGTTTTAAATAACCTATTTCAGATTGACTTTGGCTTTAAACTGCCCCTGTGAGTGTGTCATTGTTTGTTAGATGGCAGTAGTGGGAAATCTCTAAATGAGGATATGAAGAAAAATTATATTTTAGAAGTTGTTCACTTTATTAAGCGATTTAAATGTATTAAATACCCTGTCTGGTTGGATCATTGCTGAATTGTCTATCTGCTGACTCCATTCCAGCATGGCTATAAGGATTTTTTTTTTTTTACTCTCGTTGAAGTTCAGATTTGTACTATCACAATAGAGATGCATTTCATTTTTAGCTAAATTTTTTGTTTGAAAAAAACATAAAAAAATTATTTTAGATTATTATAGGCTATATATATGATGAACTGACCATCATTTTCAATAAATTTTCATTTGCAGCCAAATAACCTTAGTGGCATGTTTATATAAGCAGATTTCATAACATAGACTCCCCCGAACTTTCTCATATCATCAAACCGTCCTTCTCTTTGAGTCAGTTTTTCATTTTTATTTTATTTTATTTATTTATTTATTTTTTTTACTCTTCTTCTACTGATCCTGAATGCATAAATACATGTTTGGGTTAGATAAGTGATATATGTGACCCTGGACCACAAAACCAGCCATAAGGGTCAATTTTTTTTTAATTTCTTTTTTAAAAAGATCATCTGAAAAGCAGAATAAACAAGCTTTCCATTGATGTATGGTTTGTTAGGATAGGACAATATTTGGCCGAGATACATATCTGTATCTGTAAAAATCTGGAATCTGAGGTTGCAAAAAAATCTAAATACTGAGAAAATTGCCTTTAAAGTTGTCCAAATGAAGTTCTTAGCAATGCATATAACTAATCAAAAATTAAGTTTTGATATATAATTACAGTAGGAAATTTAAAAAATATCTTCATGGAACATGATCTTTACTTAATATCCTAGTGATTTTTGGCATAAAAGAAAAATCGATAATTTTGACCCATACAATGTTTTTTTGGCTATTGCTAAAAATATACCCAAGAGACTTAAGACTGGTTTTGTGGTCCAGGGTCACATATAATAAATGAAACAATAGGGAAAACACAAAACTAAAGTTTGTAATTTATCATAATCTTTTGACAAGCAAGGTTCACACACAATCTAGTGCATAATGTGAGTTAAGTTTTAAAAATGCCCCCAAAAATGTAAATTTCCATTCTTCACAAACATGACGAAATTTTTCACAAAGCCCCTGATCATAAAGCAAAAAAAAATAAAAAGGATAACAAGCTATAATTTTGTCCCTGATGACATCCTCACAGATGACTCTGCCAACACATTTTGGGATTGTGGTTGTATAAAAGCGGCAGAGGGAAATACTCTCTCGAGTACGTCAGCATGAATGAGCTCTTCTTCTCACATTTGCCCAGAAACATCTGCAATGAAACGAAATAAATAAATAAACAAAAAATAACTCAAAATGTGACATGAAGTGAAGAATCGATTGGCCATGCAATTCATCAGCAGCCATCAGACACAAACAACACAAGAGTCCAGCTGAGTCAGACACAGATACATGCACCTCGAGTCAATTAAAGAACACTAAGCTGTGTATTCTCAATTGATAGAACATGATCTCACAGCAGGATTTGTCCAGCGGCATTATGGGAAGAAGTAGAAGTAGTGCACTACAGTTGAGTGCTGGTCATTCTCACTATAGTCGTACATGTGGCTGTCTGGCAAAGATGCGGTAATTGAGTTTTAGAGAAAGTGCTTTCACAGCAAGAACTGCATCATGGAGAGATCATTGCAAGGCGAGTCACAGAAATCTCTTTTTATAGGTAAGGAAAGGCAGAATTGGACACATTTTTACCACAATGGCAGAAATGAAATGAATGACATAACTTTACTAATTCACTTCATTAGAAGAACAATCATTCGTTGCTTGTTTAATATTATTGATTGTCTAAATGGATCCTCACTCTGCTACAAATGCCTGTACATTGATCATACACTCCAGTGTTTTTTCTCTCTGTATTGATGTGCACTCTTTGCTGAGAGCCCTTATCATTTACAGCACCCATCTCAGACACAGACATGAAACACAAATAGAGGTTTTGATACTTTGCAAACTACTGACCTTCTTGACTTGTAATTTTATAGCGAGCAGTTTCAGTTAAAGAGTCAAACTCTTTCTCGCAGTCTTTTTGGATTTGTGAAAGTCGCTTGAATGATCTCACTTCACTGAGCCGAAATGCCACAATGGCCCCAGATAATCACTGGGACAGACTGAGAGAGAATCTCTTTGTTCCTGAGAGAGGGAAATTATTCAAGGAAACGTCTGTGAGTGAGTCTAGATGGCTGGTTGGGTATCCGGACAATAGGAAGGGGTCGGGAGAAGGGGAAGCAATGTAAACCGGGAATATCTCGGACTATCCCAGCTGTCCCTGCGGATACATCCATCCAGAATGCTACAGGCTGAATAGTGTTGAGATTATGTAGCTATCAGCAGGGATACAGTAGGTTCATTAATGTCTCAATCAAACTGCAGCTGTTCTTCATATTGCATTTCTGCTCCATGCCTTTTTTTTCATTCAGAGTGTCAGAAACATTTTGTTGTCATTTTATTGGAACTATCTTTACTTCAAGATGTTCATTAGGTGGTTTGACATAATTGTACTGAAGGTTACAGGAAGCACTATCACAGATATGCAATCCAGACTGCTGAGGAAGCTGTGAAAATTGTCAGAGAAAAACAACTAGAGGCCTGTGCAGTGGCAATCTTCAGGGAATGGATGGACAAATGGAGAAATAGCAGGACAATTGAGCGAGAGAGAGCAAGAGAGAGCGAGAGAGAGGGGGATGACGTATTGAGACACTGAGCACAATCAGTCGCTTACGTGACCATCCCCCTCCGTAGGGCACCTTGATCGGTCCGCTGTTAACAAAACACTTGCATACACATATTCTCCTTTATAACACAAGATGTATCCTCCACAATCTTGGTGTCTGAGCCTGAATCGCCTCGACATCCACTAACAAAGAAAAATGTACGCTATTTTTGGGCTCCTGTAAAAAAAAAAGAAAAAGAAAAAAGAAAGCCTCTCTCTTCCAACGGCCAGAACGGAACTGAGAAAAAAAATCATAAATAATGATTAGAAAGGAAGAGAAGTTAGGAGAAACAGTCTTACAGTTTAAATCCAATAAGGGGAGTGCCTGACCAAGCTTGGTTCAACAGCAGAGAAATCACAAGGGTGTCTGGGAAAGAAAGACATAGCAAAATGATATACTGTAAAGAACATAATTTTGTATTGATTCGTATACAGCAAAGTCATTGCATGCGGCAGTGGTTTTGCTTCAGGTTTTTCCTCAGATATTACATTGTGTTTTTCTATTTGTATAATACTTTTTTTCTAGTTTGATGCTGTCATTCTAGTGATCCTGGCTGTATTTGCACCACATGAATATCTATTTATTTCATTACAATATTTCTGTCTGTTTGAATAAACAAGTAAAATGTTTTGTTGATAATGTGACCCATCTTATAGTCATACTTGTTTTTTTTTTACACAGTTGTTTCAACCTTACAACTAGCCGTCACTGTGTTAAACAATGACCAATAATGTTTTTCTGAATATTGTTTTTATATCATTTTAATATACCACTACAGTATGTTACAAATCTGTATCTTTAATTACACATTGTCAACAGGACGTTAGTAAACAGACTGACGTAAGTTTAACTAACATAAAATGCAAGTCACTGGCACAATTCATTTCAGACATAATCAAAAAATGACTCAGTTCAGTGAGAGATTTAGTTTTGAACTCAGTAAGGGATCTGAACGATTCACTGGGTGAAACACTTGCTGTCTTGGCCACTTGACAGCACATGTAAGCCCCAGGAAGTAAGTTTCAAGACTGTCCCAAGCCTGAAAAACGTCAAAGCTTAATGCAAACTAATTGCATACTTCCCTACTATATAGTGGCTGAAAAAACAGTATGTGAAGAGTATAGTATGTCCAAATACACAGTATTCATAGCTAAAAGCTTCCAGATGACCCACTACTTCCGGCATCCAATGGGCACTTTACTATCCCATGAGGCCACGGGAGATGAACTGTGAATGACAGTGAAATGACACAACTAACACTAGTAGGTCACATGACAAAATGGCCAATGTAGTACATACAAATTCATAGTTCCCTCATTCATACTTTATAGAACATAATTACTTATTTAAAAGAAGTAGGCCTATACCTACTCAGAGTAGTTACTCAGATCATGTTCAGGAACTCGTGTGCCCAAAATTGCAAGATGTCAAGAAAACCTTTATAGTGTACAGTATGTTCAATTAATAAGTTAT